GATTTGTTGGACGAAATAATCCATTCATTGGCCACCACGAATGCTGGACTTCGGTTCATGGATTTTTTCTTAGTTGCAAGGTGAAAATATTGTTTTATATTGCAAAGATTTAGCATCTTTTCCCTCTGAAAGAAAGAATCACTGCAAAAAGTATGATACATGTGTTGATGCTCATATAGAAACCGTGTAATATATTTCAGGAGTTATGTGAGCTATTAAGTGCAAATAAATATATTTCAGAACACATTCTATAACGTTTATTACTACATAAACTAACGCCAAACCCCGTGATTAGTTTTCATACCTTCTTCAAAATCCCGTGCTTTATTGAGTTTAAAGTATCGATATCTATAAATCCAATTTTTATTCATATTTCTACTTCTGAAAACATTTCTTAAAATTTAAAGTAACGATAAAAATATCATTTATAGTAAAATTCTAAGAAAACTTTTATTGCCAAAAGAAACATGCTTTTAAGGCTGTTACCACTTAACGGGAAATCAGATTTTATGCAGAAGTCAACACATTTCTTCATTGTCAAAAATATTCATTTCTAACAAGATACAATAAAGAATTAAAAAATTTGATATTAAAAAGTTTTCATCTCCAGACGTGAAGTTCAAAATTTGTAACTGCTAAATGCAAAATTTATGATTTATGTCACATCATATTTAAATTATGATCGCTGTTCTTGAAATGCTTAGTTAAACTAACAGTTTCTGCCGCACAGTCGGTATAGTGGTTAGGGAAGCTGACTGCGATGCCGAAGGGCCTGGGTTCGAATCCCCGGAGAAGGCATGGTTGTAACTATCCGTCCATTCATAGGAAAGGCAATGGTAGCCCACCTATTAGGTGCCTTCGTAATAAAGAAAGAGCCCACCAGCGGCCGAGCGGTTAAGTCGCTGAACACTGGTAGTTCGCTCCGAGGTTCGAAACCCGCGAACGGGCTGGCTGCATTGGTGTTTTCGTGGTTTTCTCCATGTGTAACATGTATACGAGTCAATTTCCCTTAGAAAGTCCTCCACAAAGACATCCCTTCCCTTAGGCAGATAGCCCTAGTGTGCTTTGCCATAATTAAATACACACACACACCATAATAAAGAGATGTGTCATTGATTTAATCTATTATAGAGCCGCTTGCTCGAAATCTAAACGTTTTCAGATGAAAACCAAGAAGTGGATAAATAATTCTCGAATAATTGTCTCATAACTTCTCAAAGAGAAGGAAATAGTTCAAGAACATATAAAAGTGTCAATAAAAACAAACCTGTAATGCTCTCGAGGACGTCCAAGAATATTTCAAAATCATGTTTAATAAAATGGCTTCCTTAGAAGTTTTCACATGCATTTGAGAGTTATGAGTTTTCACATGCATTTGAGAGTTATGTGAAATGTATCCCAACAACAGGTCATACATGGAAATTTATTTACTCCAAAAATATTTTTCTGTTCAAAACGTCCTCGGACATGTCATGTCACATTTGTGAAGCAATTTGAATTTGACTGTCAGAGGATTTTGGCGTACTGTCTATGGAAGAAATGCGCACCTGTTACAGGGTAGTTCGTACTGTAATGCAAATGGAGTTATCTTTCGACCAATCGGCCCGATGTCCCATTTCAAACGAAGAAACTAAAGTTTATATTTTTTCACACTTTGAACCCCCTAATCTTTCTTATGAAAACTAGTCTACAGAATCAATGTTTTCAGACTCTTTAAGCTATTTGAAATGTCGCGACGACCCGCCTATGGCAGACACTATAGAATATATTGTTAATTTATTAATGAATGTAAATATCACAAAAGCGAAATTCAGAATCTAAACTTGTAAGGATCTTAAGTTTTACTAACGTTTATTTTATTTTAAATCTTTACTATCACTTCTTATTTTCTACTTCCAGCCAGAATTAAAAGCTTTAACTTATTTATGCAAATTGTCTGTCTTGGCGAACGCCAAGTACTTAAGTTGTGGCTTTTGCCAAGCAAGAGAGAGGAAGGAGTGATTAGGAGCAGGCCGCTTGCCCTAGCAGTTTTTTATTCGGTTGCTGGTTGCCTTCCAAGGCCAGAGGTTTAATCCTTTTGATAATTTTAAACGTATTGTAGTGTTAGCAGTTCTCTGTACTACATACGGACTTTCTGTTAATATAACGGCCAATCTTCAAGTAGGCACGTTTATTATTCCAAAGTTAGTTTAGTTAGAGTTTAGTTAATATTTTTATATTCTTACGTTCAGACCACAAGTGGTTGGTCTCTGTATTCCGAAGTCCGGAAATCATTGTAAAGAGAGAAAAATAAAGGGTTTAGTATACCCTTCTTGTGTGTATTGTCTACTTCCCACATTTATTGAACATAGCTTTAGTAAGCTCCCTGTTCCGAGTCAGGTCATTTAATGTTCCCAAAGCAAGTAAGGAGGAACACAGAACCTGATAAACTTATTAGCAAGATAGCCAGCTGTTAATTATCTATTTCCTTAATGGTTTGGAAATATAATATAACTACCTTAAATTCTTCCCAGAAACGTTTATGTGGTCTTACGAATAACATGTAATATCTGAAATATGCAGATAACTTATGATTATAGTTAATATCACCAAAAGCATTTTCTGGCGCGAATAAAGGGAACTGGGAGTGACAGGGTATAATATCCTGTCAAATCCCTGCTTTTGTGAATTTAATTTCTGATATTTTCAGTGTGTATCTTATGCCTTTCGTTTCCCTAGAATATAGATTTCCCTTATATTTTAGGAAAATTTTTAAGGAATAAAAATGTCGATGAATATTTGTTTCTTATTAGAATTACTTTGTTTCTTATTAGAATTAATTTGTTTCTTATTAGAATTTAATGCAAGCTATCTAATTAAATATAATATTTTACTAGGGCCCAGAAAGAAAGATTAAGGAAAATCAATGGTGCATTATTATCTATTTGCATTTTGCGTAGTTTGTTAGAATTTAAAAAGTGTAATTATTATATATAGTATGATAATTAAACTCTTTCCTCTTGTTCTACATTTTTTTATTTAAAATACCCGATTATAACATCCTACCAAATGTTAAAAATATGACAAAAACAAAAGTCTTATTTTTGAGTAAATATGGTATTAAAACCTCTCGAATATTGATTTCCTTTATATTTAAGGATAAATTTTAAGAAATAAAAATGTTGAAGAATATTTTATGAGAGCAAGGTTCTTATTAGAATTAATTTGTTTCTTATTAGAATTTAATGCAGCCTATCTAATTAAATATTTCGAGGAGTATAGATTCCAAGAAATGGATCATTTGTGTAAAGTTTACTTAAACCAAATGATCCACTTCTTGGTTCTTTTTTATCCTATTTGGTTCCATAAAAATTTGTTTAGAGCTAACAGCTTTTTAGAGCTTAATTATTATTTAGTAGAAACTTCTAGTGATGATGACGATACTTCAAACTTCATTATGCAGCATCATTAGTCATGTGAGTTTTAAACTGCTTTACTCATTGCGTTATATTTCATAGTTAAGGGTTTTTTGTACAGTTTAGAGTTTTACGATTTAATAAATAATAACCAGTATTTGTATATGCATTTATATATAATATGGCAAATTTCTGGAAATATTTTGACTCGTGTAATATAATGGACATGTGCGCTAATGCCGCAGCCCAATCTTGCTAATAGTAGCCATTTAGCATAGAAAGTTAGATTATTAAATACGTACTTTCGCTGTTAAAACCTGCTTCAGGAATAATTTAATAATTCCATCTTTATGCAACAGTTCCAAAAGTAACGTTTTCATAGTTTCTTATGTTGTTACTTTACTAAAAATTTTTAACAAGTTTTCTGCCATCATGTTGGAATTGAAAAGTATAACAAAATTACGTCACTGGTGGAGTGCCGCTAGTGCTTTGATCAAAGAAGCATAGACATAGAAAAACATGTTTTGAAGTTCAGTAGTGTCTCTTATGCTCTGATAAAGCTGTGAAAATGAAATAGGGGATATCGGAGTGATCATTCAATAATAAATAAACAATTTTTTTAATTTCTAGGTCTAAATAAATAAATATAAATATCAAATGTCTCGTAAAAGCACAAGGTCAATAAATATACTTTTTATTAGTTTGCATATCGTTAATCATTTTGAAACTGTATAAAGATTTGATTTGGGAATAACGAATATAGTGTTTAATTTTGTACACATGGAAATATATGAGAAAAATATACCTTTTGTGATTATATTTTATTTCTTATGAAAATATAATGTTTTAAACATTATGGTAGACGCACAGTAGAAATTACAGCTTTGTTATATTGACAGCTGATGGTTTGTTGTCCTAAGGCGACTTTATGCTTTCTTGTGCATTCTTAGTAAATAATCTTCTAGGAAACCCTTTTTTTTGGGGGGGGGGTACCAAGTCCTTTTCAACGAAATGTCCTTTTAAATTCAAAATTATTTCACCAATATAGTTTGTTTAGCTTTCTTTCACGTATTACAAGAGCATTTTATGCACATTAAAAATTAAATATAAAGTTGTAAAGCAATATATAATATTTAAGAGTATACTATAGTGTAAAATTAAAAATAATATCACTTATACGGGTCACGAGAAATGGAAACTGCTTGCGACCTTCCTCCTTTTAATTAACAACACTCTTATCCCAGCAATGGAAACAGATACAAAATAACTAATCCGATCTTCGCGTAGAGCCGACGCGAACAGAACAGCGTTAAAATTGGAAAAGAAACCCGTCAACGTAAAATGTAAAGTTAAGAAAAAATTGCAACTTTATTTTGGCTTAGATTGTTGTAAAGTAGTATAACCTTACTTGGAAACTTCTTTGGCGTTTTTTCTCCAGACTTAAGTTGCTCCTTCGCTTAATTTTAAAGAATAGCTTTATTTTTAATATTTTTAAATGTTAGGAAAAATTTGCCGGAAAGTGTTTTTATCTAAATGTTGAGACTAGCCTAGTCCAACTAGTCAATTGACGGCACGCCACCAACAGCCACCAATATCCCTGGCGACATGGCGAGTCATGAACATCTTCCAACGCCGCTCAGAAGAGTGTTTGGAACAGAAGAGACATCATTTGAAGAAGGTCATATTCAAATACTGACTGATAGTAACATTAGTGTAATTATTAACTGACATAAAGAATGAAAAGCAGTTATTCGCTTTGGGTATGAATTTATTAATATGCTATCAAAGGTACCGTATGTGACATATAGAAAAGTGATAAGGTCTCAATAGGTAAATAATTAAAACGTTTTATTTGAAACTAAACTTTCTTTCCAGTCAAAAGCAAGTAGTTTGGCCTATGTTAAAATATGTTTTAATAAGCATTTTATTTATTTGCAGAACTACGCGAAGACAATCACAGAATGACCGTGTATCCTGTCCGAATAGATACTCAAGGGATTATATATCCTCGTCATTTGCAATACAGACGCCGTGGTCAAGTTACCTGGCATGGTAAAACACGTTACAGGTTCCAGGCATTTAATCGTACTTTGGTGATCGAATTGCAGCCATACTACCAAGTTGTGAAACTCAACTCCACGAAGTCAGAACCAAGAACTCGAATTAAGTCTGGATGTTACTACAAAGGCCGAGTGCTGAGAGAAGCTCTATCCTCAGTGAAAGTCAGTCTTTGCGAAGGGATGGTAAGATTAATCACTTTTTTTCTGGTGAATTAGCATCTCAAATCTCTTGTGTTCTTATGTTTTCTTGTATCAAGAGAAAAGTTTTTGCATATGTGTGTTTTCATATTTTCGTGTAAAATACAATATTTACTTTGTAGGATTCCTCACCGTGTAATTCTAAGTTACAGTTGAATGTGAAGAATCTTAAGAACTAGTAAGCGAATAATCGCTTGAGTTCGTGGGGTAAAAAACAACAAGTGAGAAGAGTGAAATAACCCTTTATTGTTCCTACTAGAGTTTAACAGATTCCGTCTTTGGCGTTTTACACTAAAGCCGACACTCGGACTTGAACTTAGGAAACTAAGAATTAAAACTTAACTAATCTTAACTAAAAAGATATAGTCGAAGCTATCGAGATTCTAACGGAGTTGGCTCCAAACCCTTCGAGCCGGGTAGCGAAAACGCGCGCTTATCGCGGAGGCCGGCAGTGTCTTCCGCGAGCGTCTCTCCAGGACCGGGGGCTTTTTTGCTACTAAGCCTAAATCCATGAAATTTCCGAAGTATCAACGCATTGTTTAATAATGCTCTATAGAGTATTTAAACGGCTTATGCTTTATAGATATTTATATATATATACTTTAATTACCTTATTTCTTGTTAAATGCATATTTTACACATATTATTTTAATTACTCACCATTTTATGATTTTTAACATTATACATCTGAAAACTAAATATATTACTTAAAATTCTCTTTTCGTATGAAAAATTTTGGTAAAACAGGGATCTACACACAGTCCTACATTACATTCCTTGAACTCGTAATAACTCATTTGCCGTTTTGGAGGATTTTTCCGGGAATGTGAACAAACGAAGCATCGTCGTCTCATTTTCTTATCAGTCTCTTCTGAACAAAGTTTCGGAAAATGTCTTTCAGTTAATCTTTCAGAATCAATATCAGAATATCAGAATTTCAGAATCAATATCTGAAATATTTTGCATCATTTCTGCTATTTCATGTTCTGTTAAACATTTTCGACGCTTCGACATTTTTCCCTTTGAGAACATATACAGACTCCCCGTGCACCACATATGTACAACACGGGGCTTACAGAAGTAAGTTAACTAGAACATTAAAGGTTACATGTATAAATAAACATTAAAAATTACATGCATAATAAAGCGAACAAAAGCAGAGAACAGCAGTCTGGACTTCACGAAAACAGATAAGTTCACTGGCCAAGTTCCACTCCGAACATTTTCAAATCGTTCTGTAAGCATAATCTAGGGCCATCAAATGTAGGGCACGAGAAAATCAAATGTTCCACATCCTGAGGAACTCTTTTTGAACATTTCACATAAATTTTTTGATCGTAGATTAAAACGAAACAGATAACTTGCAAATTTACCGTGACCAGATAAAAACTGAGACACTTTAAAATTTAACGAGAGGAAAGACTCGGAATTCAGTCTATGGTAAATAGAGGAAGGAACTTTTTTGGTGACTTCCGCATTACAAGATGAAATGTATTCCTCATCCACATAGCTAAAAGATTTTTATAATGAAAGGACTTCCAATAACTCTTTGGAATGCTAATGTTGATATCAATGGGTAAATTTAAGGCATCTTTAGCTAAGAAATCAGCTCTTTCATTTCCGTAGAAACCATGATGAGAGCACGCACATAAGCAAAGCAGATATCAATACCTCTAATTCTAAGTGAACTAACAGTTACTAGGGGTTTCGATAACTAATTTATCGCAGCTGGTAATACTGTTCAAAAGTTGAAGAGAAGAAAGAGAATCAGAACAAATAAGGTACTTTGAGGATGTTGTCCCATGATCCTGGATCCATTTGACGGCAAGATAAATGCACAGAAATTCTGCTTGAAAAACTGTACATTCATTCCGTATACGGTGTCTAAGAAAACAAATCTCGGAATGGCCTTCAAAAAGAACCAATGCAAGGCCAACCTTGTTGTTCATCTTGCTGCCATCTGTAAAGAAAACCATATGAAAATTTGTTTCAGCAGTCTCTTTATAATCGCAGAGATTTATGGGTTCTAAAGAAGCGGGATGAGGAAGATCAGTGAAGGGGACAATTCCATTAATACAGTCTTCCGAAGCATGAGTTTGCCAATGACTCAAAAATATTATTCTTATATGCAATTCAAAATCAATAGGCGGAACTCCTCCTGCAAGAACAAAGTAGCCTCATAGCTTAAGGTTCTATAACCACTAATAATACGAAGAAGAATTCTCCGTTGAATCTTTCTTAAATTTCTTTTGTTAACCTTCTTGGCAAGAACATGTCCCCAAGCACGACAGCCGTACGAAATGAAAGGTACAATACACCTGCTTATACATGGTTTCTTAACATCGTAGCTTACTCCAAAAGTATTTTTGGCAATTCGGTGAAAGCCATTAAAATTTTTTCACATTTAGCAGAAAGGAATTCAATGTGCTTTTTCCATGTTAATTTTTGGTCAAGAATGACACCAAGATATTTAACATTTTCTACAAATTCCAACGTAGAATTATCGAGCATCAAAGAAGCAATATTTTGTTCATCAAACGTACTGGGAAACAAGCATAACTTTACTTTTTTGAAGGATTGAAAGTGAGTTTATGAGAAATCGCCCAACTGGAGACAAAAATCTAGAACTTCTTGTGCTCTCAAAAGAATGTTATTATTCAAAAAAATCTTCCTTGGAAAATTAATAGTAAGTCGTCTGCAAACGCAATTTTTAAACAACCGTCGAGATGACTTAAAAGATCATTTATGATTATGTTCCAAAGAGTAGGTCCGGATACAGAGCCTTGAGGACAGCCTTTTTCTAGAGAATAAATCTTAGCTTCGTTCCCAAGCTGAAGCTCAGCAGTCCTCTCGTTCAAGAAGCTTTTAAGAAGGTTATAGATATTATGTGGTATACCAGCATCTTTTAAAATTTTTAAGATAGATGGCCACCAAGCATTATCAAAAGCTCCTTTGAAATCCAGGAAAAATAAGAAGTGTAGTATACTTCATTTTCTTTGCACACTGCAAGATATTGCAAGGCGAATAATGGCGTCTTCAGCGGACTTCCGAGGAGTAAATCCGAACTGAGAATCATTATAAAAGCATTTTTGTCTCAAATACCAATTTATTCTGTTAATGAAGAGAGTTTCAAGACATTTTCCCAAAGTAGGCAAAAGACTAATGCATCTAATATTATCAAGATAAGGGGTTCTTGTATCTAACGTTTTAGGAATCAAAACAACCCGAGCTCTCTTCCATTGTGCTGGAAAAACTGCTAATTGTAAACAAAGGTTGAAAAGTTTGTGTAGAAATGTGCTATCCACCGCATGAAAGTGCTGTATCATTTCATTAGAAAGAGAGTCAAGCCCAGGTGATTTGTTCTTCTTGAGATTTTTAATAACACTGTTAACTTCTGAAGTAGAGAACAGACAGTCCATAAAAGAAATATAAGGTCCATCAGACTCAGTGCGCATAGTTCTATGAGAATTTCTATCATCACGCGCATTATCTCTTGGGAAATTCTTTGTCATTATAGCAACAATTGTATCACTCAAACTCGAAGTAACACTGCCATCCGGGAGTTTAATTCCCGAAATCTCAATCCTTTTCGCAAAATTGGTCTTGACCCCATACTTATATATAGATTTTCCAGACATTGTGAACAGTAATAGTTGATAGAAAATTTCTCCATTCTCCACGACTCAAGCTTAGCATTAGCTAATTTAGCCTTGTACTTATGCCGCAATTCGAAATATTTAATTTTATAAATATTTCTAAGAAGACAGTTTTTCTTTCTCTCTGGAATCTACGCCTAGCAGCATTTACATGCTTTCTATATAACAATCAATTTCCTTAGACCACCAAGGGACCCCCCATTCTTCTTACTTTTCTTCATCGGAATTGAAAGTAAAGCACAATTAAAAACAACGGTAGAAAGTCTGTTTACAACATTTTCTAATGCAATACAATCAGAGCAACTGTTAAGAAGGATATTCAAGTTACACAATTCTCTCTTACAAAGTTCAGTAAATAAAAACCAGTTCGTTCTTTTTAAATTAAAAGTAAACAAATTAGAAGATATAATCGGACGGCATAAAACAAGTTCAAAGATAATCATTTTATGGTCAGAAAGAGAATCTTCCTCAGAGATATCCCAACCTTGAACGTATGGCAGCAGTCCTAAGCTACAAAGCATAAGATCAATATAACTCGAGCCTTGCGTGGAACAGAAAGTAGGTCCGCGATTTTCATTAAGTAGAAACAAATGATTCGCACTAATAAAATCACTAAGTTTCGTTCCCCTCTAGCATCAGTAATAGGACTATGCCAAATCGCTGATTTGCTATTTCGAATCCATACCACATAAAAAATTGCATGGTTTCTTCATCGTTAAAATTTGTTGAAATTTTTAATAGTTCTATGTCAATATTAGTTTGGGGCTCGAAATAAGCGGAACAATAGTCAAGTCAGATCCATTGATTTTATATCTAAAACAACAGTATTATAAAACTGTATGATTTAAGTCCAAAAAAGGAAGAAAGATTCTGGTTGTGCGAACAATAACAGCAGACTTGACAACTTCTGCTTCGGAATCATAGTAAACTTTATATTTTATTGGAAAGCCAGGAAGAACACCTTTATAAAAGTGCGGCTCCTGAAATCAGTGCGACATCAGTGTCATTTGCCTCCATATATAAAATAAGTTGCTGAGTAGCAAATTTTGATTTGTGCAAATTTATTTGTACAAAAGAAAGAGACAAATTGTCGGACTTACCCATAATAAATTTTTGAAGCTGCAAGATTCATCATAAATGTATGGCTGGGGCAAGTTCCATTAAATGGCTTATGATTTACATCAACTTTCTCCTAGTTGCATTTTTCGTCTTTTATTAAATCTTATGCAATTAATACACACTTGCACTTCTTTTTTATCACATTCTGAACTCTTATGCTCACCAGAGCAGCAATAACAAGCCAAGGGATTTCTGCAATCAAGACTTCTG